CGGGGGTGTGCGGCCGCACAGGGCTGTGTCACCCCAGGGACAGCCTCCTCCACCAGCCCCTGCGCTGCTGTTTAATCACCGGACACTTTCTGCCTCTAAGCAACGAGCCCCGCGTTGGGAGTTACGAAATCCGGCTTTAATTGCAGGAAGAAGACTCGGAGCGTCTCAGCGCAGCGTTCGCTGCAGTTGTGAACCTGATGAATCAGGCCAGCCGGGAGTGCGAGGTGAGGCTGGACCCCAGACCCCTGCGAAGTGGAAGGTTTATGATGTGCTGGCAGACACCTGCTTCCACTACTTTTGCTAAAAGCACAAAAATTAGACTTCAGTTTTGCCCATTGCATGGCAAGAGCTCAGCCAGTGAGCCGGTGACACTAGCCTAGATTAAGGAATTTGGGGCATTTACCATCATGCGGTGGGTTACACAGTAGGTTTCGTCAGCGTTATCCTGACCAGCTGGTCCCACCTTAGCTGACAAACACCGCTGTCGGCATTTTCCATGGGCAGTACCAGGGGACCAGTGCAGATTTTAGCACTTGTGGAAAGGCAATATGGTTAGAGAGACAAAGTATCTGATGATGTCACAAATTACACTGTGTCAGCTGCCACAATTTGATTTCATTTCTTTGGTCTGTGACATCATGTAAAGGAATCCAGCTCACGTCCTGGATACAGAGATGCTCTGCGAAGTGTTATGCACTAGGTCAGAGTATTTGATGTATTTTGGGACTTATCTCCATAATAAACCACAATACAAGCAACTAAATCTGTTGATGTGTGCATTACCTCAAAGAATAAAGGATGGCAATATTTGGAAATAAGAATTGCTATCGGCCTTATTTTTGTTAAGTTTAGTCTTTGACAGTCAGAGACACGGAAAATATCAGTGAAATAAAATAGATATTTTGGAACTTTTTAGTCCCTGTGATCAAAAAGGTAACCCTGGGAAGAGTTCTCTGGTGACAACAGATGGCAGCAGAGCTGTACTCAAATACTTAGTTTGCAGTGGGGAAGCTTCAAGTATCTTTACAGTGGAGCCAGAAAAGGGCTGCAGTGCACTTAAATACAATTCTCAAAATCGCTATGATACTGGTGCCAGCCTTAAAGACACTTTACCTTCTTCACCAGCTCATTTTTTCAGTATTAACATGTTCTGCTTTTAGAGCACTGCTCCTTCACATGCCCTGCAGAACCAGTCTTCACTGGCTAGGTTGCAAAGCAGCTAGCTTGCATATCGATCCTATTAGGGATCCATAAACTAGGCCTTCTTCCACTAGAGCTTTTTGAAGAGCCTGATTGGGTAGATGTTTCTAGACATTCCTTCTGATATTTTTATGAATTCAGTTCTGAGCTGTCAGGGAGTCCCCGAGTATTGTGTCGAGAGACAGGGCTGACAATTTTGTATCAGAAGGCAGATGCCCAGGCATCGTTTTCATCCTCACACAAGAACAAACCAGCCAATTAACACAGGTCAGTAGCTGTGCAGTTCTGCTTTTAATTGTAAGTCTGCAGTACTTGTGAGAATGGCTTTGGTGTTTCTCCGCATAATATTCTCCATTTCTATTGTTGTCTAGAAGTACTATAGCTTCAGGGCAGCCTGTAGATGCAAAGAGCATGAGATCAAACACATCTGCAGGTATCATGGCAGGCAAGCAGGGGAAAGAGAGCTGGAGACCTCTGAAGAAGAGGTAAGTAGGTGGTTTTGATTAAAGGTTATTCCTTCCCTCAGCCATGGGACAATTGTTATCCATCTAGTGTCTGTGACACTTGCTTACACTGATGTATGTGGTTTGACATCTTGTTCATATGAACACCTGGACCGATATGAGCCTTCTGTTGGGGTGGGGGAGCAGGGTAACTTCTGGTGGCACTAATCAGTGTCATATCAGTCCTTTTGTGGAGGGGAAAATTTCATGGACATAAAGCATCCCCTCTCTCAGGGGCTGAATTTGCCTTTTGTGTTTTATCATTAGAAAACAGCATCTTTTTCTTTCCAGAGGACTGAAGACTCTGTAGCACCCAGTGAAGCTCAAACTTGCCAGCAACATGTAAGTTTATAGAATACTTTGTTTTTAGATAGAGGTTTAGCATTTCTTTATCATTTTGCATCAAGCTGGTTAAAATTTGTCATCAGGTGTGGAGACTTTGTGATAGCACAGAAGGTTAACCCGTGGTGCATTCACAGTCCTAATGTATGTATAGGTGGGCAGTAGAATGGGCATAAGAGACTTTGTGATCACGATTAGTTATAAACCAGACTGTGGCATTCTGGAACGTAACCAGTTAAGAGTCTACTTTATATTTTGGACTGGTACAGAATGTCAAACACTGATTAATCTTTAGGCTCTTGTGAATTGCATCAGCAACAATAACCCAGCTGAAATTCTTTGAGTATGGCACTTGCTAATTTTTGTACTGACAGAAACACTTTACAGTTTTCTCCATGCTGCCTGTATATTTTGAAAAATCTTAGAATGTTTAAATAGCAGGCAAAGTGTAATTTTTTTACCCAAATTAAAAATTTTTATTATTGTGGGAAATCTAAGATGACTAAACAGTAAAGAAACTTTCCCCCCTCCTCCCCTCCAAAGACCAGACAAGTTTCCAAAGACATCTACATTGAAGTTTCTCCTGGCATCTATTCTGTCACAGCAACCTCAGAGGACATGGTGCAACAAACCCACGTGGTGGATATCAACGCAGGCCAAAGTATTGATTTAACTTTTGTTCTATGATGTTTGTTGTTTCTCGGCCTTCACAGGAATAAAATACAAGGCTGTTTTAATCCATGTAATGAACCATGTATACCTTTTTCTTGTTAGCACTTTAACAGTATCCTCCTCTTTGGGACTCCATTTTTATGATCTGTATATTTGTTTTCTACTTAACGCAATTATATGCAGCCCACTTTGTACACTGATTTTATAAATATTTGTACATTGTGTGCCTTAAATCCAATTATGTAACTATGTAGTTCTAGGTTCTTATGCTTTAAACAATTAAAGATAGAATCAGTGGAATAAAATACATAATTTAGTCTTTTTGATGACAGCTTCTTTTATATTATCCTCAGACAGAACACTTGACCATACAGAGCATGATCCACGTGGTATGAATATGGATGTACATTAGCTTCTGTGGGCTGGCACTGATTGTAGAGCAGCTGGCTCACAATGCATCTCTCCTATCTGTACTTTTATTATTCTGATAAAGAAATAAAATGCAAATGAAATTCACTATCTAGGACTCCAGCTCAGGAAGGTGCTTGAATATGTGTCAGATGTTCAGTATAGGCAGATAAGCTATTGACACTTCAGCTCCTGTCTCTCTGCAGGCTCTCCTAGGCTAAACACTAGTGAGCTGCCTTTTCCAGTAGACAGTAGGGTCCTCTGACCTGTCTCCTGTTTCCTGCAACTCCCTCTGAGCAACTGCAGGCTGCAGCTTAGGGCCATGTTCATACACTGTAAACGTGAGCAGTCCCACTAACAAGACTGCGTGGATGCTTAACTCCCCTGAAGGATCAGATTCCACAGTTAGCATTAGTGACATGACCTATATATAGCTGTAATCTTTTTGGAGCTGGTGGTATTAAGGTTGCAGTTAATTTTCATGGGGATATAAAATTCGGTGACTTGAATGCTGGATCTCTCAGCATTTTGTTGTTTGTATCTACAGTAGCAGGTCCTTTACCCTCTGGCTACTTTCTCCTCTGCTTTAATCCTGAAAAAATATTTTCAACTAGCAGCTTGTATTGTTTCTCCATTCCTTCTAGCTTCTACAAAAAGAAATCACTATGCTGAATTACTCTGGCTGACTCTAGAGAACTGTAGACAAATTGGATGTTTATTAGACCCTTGCTGTGCATCTGTTCAGGCTCATACTAATTTACCTGATCTCTCCAGAATTGTAAAGCCAAGTCCTAATAATTAGAAATTTAATGTAACTCCTTGGAGTAAAGAATGAGGATGCTGAAATTCAATGTGGGTAGAAATAGTTTCTCGTTATTAAGATTATACAGTTACCCATAAAGATATTCTACAGAGGCAGTACCTAAATCAGAATGATTGATTTGCTTAATAAATGTTACACTGTTACAGTATAAGCTGTTTACCTGAAATTTCAGCTCCTAAACTTCATCGGTTGGACATTTATTGAATTCTGATTGATTATGTCTGCTTTGTTGCAAGTAAGTTCTTTGCTGTTTTTTCTGTCTGTCCTCTTCTGACATGGTCTGTATTGTCAAGCTTGCCATCTCCTACACAAGTCACTTTACATTTATCATCCGACTCTGTTTTCTTTCTTGTTGTTTTATATCTTTGGTTTTTTGATGCTGCAAAACCTTCTTCCTGGAGGACAGAAAACAAATCGCTCGGAAGTTTAGCCTAAAAGCATCAGTGTCTTTGTCACTGCTGCTTTCCTGGCTGTAAGATAGGTACCTCTGCCTCATGTAGCTTTAATGATGGTACCATTTCTGTGCTAGTACAAACTTTACTACTGAGAAACAGAGGTGTACAAAGCTGTTAGGCTTTGACCAAAAACTTTGCTCCTTTAGAAGTTATGAGAATTTTTGTTGACTGCAGTGGGAGGACATTAGCCCCACAGAGAACACCTCTGAGGAAACCTGCTCTTTAGCTTCACTTGTTTGTTGCAAGTGACTCCTGATGCGGCCTGTATTATATGCTAAAACTGCTTCACCTATCTCAAGGAGTAGCAATGTATCTTTCCAATGTATCTGTAGGAAACATACAGTTAATAAGTTGGTAGGCATCTGCTTAAAATTAATGCCTATAATTGCGAGAATACAAGATATATTCCAGTATATTCTCTGTTCACTAAGACATGTTATTAACAGATTAATCTTCTCCTAAAGAAAATCATGCAAGTTTAGCAAGTTCAAAGTTTTACTCTGCACTCAGCTCACAGCAGCAAGAGCATGAAGGTACAAAGGAGCTAATATTTGATTTCTGATACATCATTTATTAATTGCAACCCTGATGCTCTTGTGTGGAGCAGTGCTTCTGTTCATCCTGCCATTCTCTTACATCTTCCTGCAAGTTTTTTTCTTCTTTTTAATGCTTGCTTTTTTGACATTCATGTTCTGATTTTTTTTCCCACAAGTTTTTCTAAAACAGTTAACTGGTGGAATCTTTTCCATTTTACCAAGTAGCTTCAGTCCTCCCTGAGGGTTTTAGGATTTTTGTTTTGTTTTAATTAGTGTAGAAGTTTCCTGTCTATCACAAAACTGGTGGATGGCCTTAGCAAGCAGTTAAGTTAGAAACAATGTATTTTTCTAGCCAACTTCCGGATCATTAACAAGAATATTTCTTCCATTCAAATAAACCACAGGCTTACATAAATACAGTATTAATACAGACTACCTTACCCTCAATGACAGCTTGAAATCTTGGTCTCTTAAGATTTCTTTCATGGTGAGTTGCCCTCTGGGAGGCTGCTCGATGGTTTCAAACATTGCACTCCGATTAGTTGGGGCAACATGGGACATGTCCCCAACAGAGGTGGCTTTGGATTCCGGCATGCTCTTTGTACATGTGCTGCTGTGATTGCCAGGTCCTGTGAAGGAGCAAAAATGTATCTAAGAGTGAAACTAGAACTGAAATGGAGAAACATTCATTTCAGAAGAGAGGAAAATGCACTGCAAGCCTGACAAGAATGCTTTCAGGTTATTCTGCATGGACTAGCTATGAAGGTTAATGAAGATGTTAGCATCATAAAAAGTGTAGCAAAATGATGGGGAACAAACTCAGACAAGGATATTTCTGGTTCCAAATAAAATTCTGGTAGTTTGTCCTGGTAGTTTTCCATTGGATGAGTTGCCAAGAGAAGAGCCAGCATGCAAGATGAGAAGGGTGCCCAGAACACATTTGGTTTTTTCCCCTTTGGCTGCTGCTTCCCTGTGGGGGTGTCAAAAGGTACCTGAATTACTGGGATGGGACTTGCAGTGGCTTCTTTTCCAGTATTTCCACTCGGGTCTTGCAGAATCCTTTAGCCTGGGGCTCTCAAGACAGCTGGAGCCTGTGTTAACAGCACTGTCCACCACAGTACGCTTACTGGGGAATGGCTCCAGGTCCCACTCTGAATCAGAAGAGGGGGAAGACGCTGCCATAGCTGCTGCTGCTTCTTGTTTTGGGCCTTTCAGTTCCAGAAGACACGGAGAGGGCTCACTGCTGGACTCTGCCTCTTCAGCTTTGCTCTGAAAGACCAGAGATCTGGAGGGAAGAGTCCACCAGGCATCAACATGGGGATAGCAGCGGCAGATGCACCTTATGTACGCTGATGAGCAGCACATACCACCACAGTGACAGTGGAAATGTGGCAAGCAGGGTGAGCACAGCAAGCAGTGCTTGGCAAGGCTACATACCGCACAAACAGGAATTAGACATGGTTTAAGAGTGCAGGAAAAAATACAAAAGTTAGTGTCTGGACTTTCTCTGGGCTTCACCCTGCTGGTGAAGGGCATGTGGATCATCTCTACAGTCCTCTTCCACAGGCTAGGAGGGACCCACAGAGCCACACCACTCGGGAGTTTTACTTTCTTGTCATTCCAGAACTGGACCATAATTTCTTCATCTTCTGAGGCTGCTGAGAGAAAAGGTAAGCAACCATAAGCAGCTGGTCTGCCGCGGCAGTGCACATACACAGATCAGGCTTTGCAGCTTTATGCACTTTCTTCTCATGTTAAGTGGTAGGATCAACCATCACCCCTCTCTGTAACACCTCACCATAATGTCACAGAGGGTGGAGTGGGCAGCTAGGGCACCGTTGGTGTGACAGCAGGTCTGGCAATGTCTTTCCTCCCAATTTGTCATCAGATGATCAAGAAAATGCTAAGTAACTTTTGTTACTGCCAAAGTTAGCAGTAATGCTCCGAGAATAGCATCTTGATAGTGAAGCTTGACTGTCAGACATGGGAAAAATGAATGAGTTACTGAAGGCTCCTATGTTTGGGTAATAAAATCCCCCCGAGATGTACCATTCAGTACAAACGTGAACACTCAAGCACAGACGGGTACTCCCTGAGAGCTGCCTCGCTTACATCCCTCATGAAAAAGCCACCGTCCTTCACATGGCAGACACAGCCTTGTCCAAGCAGATGGGAAATAGCACATCCACGGACAAGGAAGATGACATTTTTATATGTCACAACTTCCTTAGGGTCAGACTGGGGAGGTTACATGCAGACATCCATCAGCAAGTCCCATCAGCTCCCGCAAGCTTTAACCAACACTAAACTGCAGTCTGTGCACTGGCATTTCTCTGTCAGTAGCACCATGACAAGAGTATCCTGACAGTCTCATCCATGTCCTGGAGCAAGGCAAGGAAGAAGAGGGCAGCATCTTTCTTACCTCGTAATGGGTCCCTTGTCTCAGTGCCTGTGAGGATGGTTCCTGGGCCATACCTGGCCATATCTGGCTCCCAAGGTGCCAGCACTTTGTCTCCAGGGAGTAAGGAGTGCTTCATCCCATTCACATATTCCAGGATGTCATCCTTTGCTGTTTTTTGCACACACACTGGATGTCTTCCACTTGACACAAGTGGTTTGGCAAACTCTACCAGGAACATGCCTGTTTCACCCTGTTACCAGGAAAAAAATAATAGTTCCTCTGAAAAACAGTCCATAATGTGTCAGGTCACGTAACCTTCACCAGGAGGCCATTCTGTGGCTACATGGCTAGGTCAAAACACCCAGCAAGCCTGAATAGTAACTAAATAGTGCACAATGTTAGTCCAGCATTGAGACAGCCAGAAAAACCTCTGTGAGGCTCACCAGAAAGCAGGCTGAGTGAAGCATACCTACAGATTCACTGCTACTAGGACCTGTATTTTCTTCCCCAAGAGAAAAATCTACAGATAGAGTGCAACTGGATTTCACAAACCATGCCATGTGTACCAGATAACAAGGGACACTGAAGCCGTTCAGACCTGTTCTTCAGTCATGCCCAAGTCCTTCCTCATTACATACAACACTAACTCGCTTCTTGGGGCAATTGTTGGGAATTTTTATTTTCTTTTAAATTAAGGCCTGTCAGGAGGCTTGCCATCAACAATGGAATGAGGTACTTCCCTGTTCTTGAGAAAGAATAGGCCCCTTTTTCTGTTAAGTTTGAAGTGCTAACACACTCATGAATTAAAGCTTTCACTAACACTTCTGAAGGCACCGAGCCATTGGTCTGTAGCTGACTCAAGCTGGAAGTGTGTACATAAAACATGAACGCTTTTCCTGTGCTGTTGATGGTTATGTGTCTACACACAACAGCAGTCAGGACACTGCTCCCAACACTACTTATGCTGTCTGAGCCTGGCTCAATGCCCAGCGCCAGCAGAAGCAGAGGGCCTGCTCTTGCAAGGTGCACATCAACATTGCTCTCACCAGGAAGTAGGAGGCTGGGGGCATCCATCTTCTGCACAAGATGAAGATCCCCAAAACACACCTGCTCACCCCTAGAAACAGGCTCAGTAAAGGAGGCTGAGCAGAGCAAGGATCTGATCATTATTAGTTTATTGGTGCCTGAGGCTGTGCTGCGTGCAAGAGGCTCACTTGGCGTGCCAGGCAGCAGGAGGTGAGGACAGCCCAGAATCAGGCACATCGGGAGCTTTATGAATCAACATCACCAGGAGCATCAGCAGTCCTGGTGATCTGTTCACTAATTCATGCACCAGCTGAAATCAAAACTGCTACACTGAACTCGGGCGGTGCATGAGGACTGCTGGTGGGCTGGACACCCTATTCTACACACCCACAGTTACCACACCACAACCATCACTCACCTCTAGCTCCTCTTTTACTGTACCACGGTAATAAAATCCATCTTGTTCCCCTCTCACCAGCACAGGGACATTGCTGTCTAAGCCTACTGATCTTGATGCACTCAGCCTCTTCCATGCTGGGCCAGGGGAGGGGAGGCAATGGGTAATCCAATGGCACCTTGGAAAAAAAGAAAATGGGTCAGCACTGGGAGAAACAGCTTCTGTAGGTCACAAAAATAAAAAAAGAAAGAAGAACTGGATCACTTAATATCATTTTTTAGCATTCCCACAGACCAAAGCACGCGGGAAGAAAGAGAAAACTTGCTTGTGCTGGGACAATTCCTTGCTCATGGGAAAAAACATCAGTGCCTGGTTTTACTCAGATTTCTTTGGTTCTGGGTTTAGAGGAAGTGAGCCAGGCATACACTGGAATCCTGGGCCAGCATTACCTGCACCAGTCTCTTTGCTGTTTACATGGCAAACCAACGCAACCCATAAGATCAGGAGAAAGGATCCATCTCCAGCACAGAGCACAACAAAGGTGCACCCGAGAGCACTGTAGCTGGTGGTTTACACTGAGGCATTCAGCGAACAACAGAAAAGTGAACAACAAAGCTGCTGGTTGATGACAGTTTCAAGTTCAAAACAGGAAAAATAATCCCCTGTCACAAAGCATTAGAAACATTTCACAGAAGACAGCTGCTAACACAAGATGCCTTTATTTATCCAAATAACATTAAAGGAACGTTTCTTTGATAGGAGGTTTACTCAGGCTTTGCTTTTCATAATCTCCAGGGTAGAAAATCACTTTAGTAAATGACATCTAAAAAATTGCCAGTGCAGGGGATAAGAAAGCTCAAATTATGTTCAAGCTGCTAGTTTATTAATCTGACACATCAGCCTGTTTTATCCTATTAGATACTATGAAAAAGAACAAATCACAGACTCAAACAAGAACTTGATTTTACCTCTGGGGGGTGAGGGGCTCAGCGAGCCAGGTGGGATACACTACGAAAGAGCTCCCACAGCAGAGGCTGGTGGTAGGTACGATGTTGGAGGACGAGTACTTGGCCAGAGCTGGCATTACACTGCAACACCTGTGACCTGTAGGCAGGAACCCTTCCAAGTGAGCCATTCTTGCCAAGGAGCTACCTGCAGGACTCAGTCGTGATCTCTTGGCAGAAAAGAGATAACGTACTGCCATTTGCCAGGACAAGCAAATGTGTGTATCTCAAGAACTCAGCTTTCATTATTTGTTGTTTCTTATTTAAAAAGAAAGAATGCAGAATACTCAAACTAGCATTTGGTCAGATGAATCCATATCACTGACTTCATCCCTCTTCAGTCACCCAAATCCTGACCTGTTAGAGAGACAGAAACACCCAAGGAAACTAGAAATGCTGTGACAATCCCCAGGAAAGCAGTAGCTTTCACCTCCCTCCAACTTTTGTTTCCCTCTGTAACACCCAGCTCTTTTCTTACACCTACACTCTTTAAAGCTTTCTCGTACACAGTGCCAGCCAAACCTTCCCTATTTTACAAGCTGAGAAACTACAGCTGAAGTTGTCAAGTTGAGTAAACGTGACAGTTTTTGAACATCATGTCAGATTACAGTTGCCTGTTACTTGTTTTATTTGTAGTGATGTATTAAGAGGAAATATTTTGATCTTTCAGCTGTCCTGTCATGTTTTATAACAGTAGGATTATGGCTTGCCATGAGAAAGAACTGAGATGCTCAGATTTGACAAGTGATAACTATTCAGAGGCTGTCACTGTAAGATTGATGATGTGATGCTATTTCTGGTAATCTAACAAGATGTAGTAGACAACCTTCCACTTGTTTTTTGGGTTTTTTAGTTTGGTTTGTTCTTTTAATATTGCTTAGAAATGTTTAGCAAGCCTAGGGTAAAATTTGTATGGCAATTCAACAACATATAAATTTTAAGTGCCCAACTTATTTTATAAAATACAGTTTAAGTACTCATATTATGTTTAAATGTTATTTTGTCTCTTATCTAAGAGATATGATCTGTGAGTCCTTTTTATGAGGACTGCCAGATATATATCATTTCAGGAAACCAACATACCAAGCTCAGCAAGAAGAGTGGATTAACTGCTGCAAAATGGGTCTTGAAGTCAGCAAATCAACACAATATATTCACTTGTTTCAGATCTACACAAACTCCCCTATTTATAAACCAAAACAAGATGGGATCGGTAATACTTTGCAAAGAAATGCAGCTACCAATTCTACATTAAAGCACATTTTAAACTCCTTCATCGCTGTTGCTGCTGACTGCTAGGTCCCCTATTCCTGTATAAAACACGACACTGACAAAGGCAATTGCACAACACTTTGAAGTTTGGTTTTTTTTCTGGATAACTCCAAGTACTCCTACACAGCAGTGTTTCAAACTTACCAGCTATGATAACACTGTATCTGGTGGACTTGGACTTAGTCCTGGTGCAGAAATCTTGTCCTTTTGTCTGTTTGAGGCAGGAAGCCATTTGCTGCCAGTGTTTCCTAGTTGCTACGGAGCTTGCCACAGCCGTTACTACCAGGATCAGACACCCTGGCCTTACTGGTTAAAAACCAGTAAGGAACGTGACTACATGCCACTCATCTGCTCAAGAGTGCGCTGGAAGACTGCAGGGGCAGAGAAGGGATTATGAGAGGGCACCTAGGCTGCCTGCCTACTATTGCATGGCAAAAAAATAGCATCCTAAGAAGCTACAGTTCAGATTTAGAAAAAAAAAAAGCCCACCACCACAGGGTGGGATGACAAATAAATTGCTTCAAAATGCAGACAGAAAGCTTGAAGCTGAGACAAACTATGGTCAAATCATTTTGCAAACTTCTAATTTTCACAATAAAGGCAAAGAATTAATTAATTCTACCCTTTTCCTGCAAAGTATGTATCAAAACCATACCAAAATACAATGCAGAAATTACCTGTTAATCTCTGCTGTGAACCCTAATCTTCATTTTCTCCTTTACAAACTTTAACTCCTCTTTGTTCTTTTTTCTTTTCTGGGGGGCAGAGGAATACTTAATTGCATTTTGTAGGCATTTTTCAATTCACTGCTGTTAAAAAAAAAAAGGGGAGGGGGGAATGATTGCAATTAGGGACAAGGAAACAGCACTTGGGAAGTCTGTAACCATTTTCTGTACATTCTGCTGCACCCACAGACTACCTACTCTCATGCTATCAGCAGAATTGTTTAATATCAATAACAGAATCCCCTTACATATAGCAAATGTTAAGAACATTTTGCAAATTATGAGCTAAACTCTATTCACCATCTTCATTCACCATCTTCAACTCTATTCACCAAATCTATTCTACAGCTAAAAACACCAATAGTACAGAGGAACAGACTGGGAGGTCGAGGAAGACCACCCCAGACCTCAATCATTATCAGTGAGCCTCAAAAATTCCTTTTGCAGGATTTTCCCCACCACCACCCAAGGCCCAGACCTTGCCAACCCTCTTTATACTGTGTATTATGTGAGCAGTCCTAGTAATTTTTAAGGGCACTGACAGCTGAAGAAGAATCCAATTCTCAACAGAAATTAGGCTAAGTCAGCAGTTTTTAATGAGATCAGAATATGCATCAATAAGAAAAGGAGGGAAGAGCGCTTGCAAGATGTTATGTTCTTCCTGTGTTCAGTAACCATGCCTCAGAGAGCTGCTACCCTCCTCTTTTTATTTTCCCCCTTTTAAACTAAGTTATCCTTTCTGTTGACATAACAACATTCCCAGGAACCTTTAAAAAGGCCTTTTAAGAAAAACATTGGCAATGATAAGTAACATTACAGAAAATGAGAGGAATCTCAGTCCCATCAGTGAAAAGATTTTATTTTAAAGCACTCAGGTTGTGATGATACATAGTTACTTCACACAAATAGGCATTACATTTTTGGTCTGGTGACAATTTTAGAAATGTTTTCAGATTTCCACAAATTAACTAATTTAGGCCATTCAGATGAGATTTCCCCAGTTGACTTTTTCATATCTAAGTGTAGTTACTATCTGCAAAATTAAAACTCTTTTCTGTGGGCTGATACAGACACATGCTATGATCTGCTCCTAAGATGTGCAAGGAACATGCACATCACTAATACAGTGGCTACTAGGTTCCCAGACAGGATACCTTTTGCTGGGTTTGGAATGGTTAGATTGTCTTCAAAAATTGGTTTTGTTTGTTAAGTGCTTTAGGTTCCTGGCTTGGCTCCATGACATTTTTTTCTGCCACCACGGAATCACTGTACAGAACAGACTGCAGGTAGCTAATGTATTTTATTGCAGCACGGAGTGTCTCTACTTTGCTGAGACGTTTCTCCAAGTATTCCTTAGGTAGGTGATGCCTCAGTTTAGCATAGCCTTCATTGACACATTTAACCCTCTGTCTTTCCCTCTCATTCCTCTTTCTGATGAAAGCTGGCCCACAGGTGTACTCATTTCTGCGGTAACTGGAATGGGGCATTTGGTAGGGTTTTCACTGTAGAAGTTCTCTGTGATGAGATGTTCAGATGTGAAAGGAAGGAATGACAAATCTTCCAAGCAAGTGACCTGGTTTGGTGTTTCTGGGTACACGTGAAACGTGACCACCGGATCGGCACAGAAGGGTCTAGCCAGCTGTACGTGCTGAGCCTCAGTACAGATGGACAGCTTGTCCATGAAGTCACGGTAGCTCTTGTCATCCGTCGGGTTCTGCATTGAACCTGGAAATGCACAATTACATAATAGTTCAAACAACTCATACTGAACAGTAAGGAAAAAAAACTCACCTGGACTTACCAACACTCGGCAGTACCCGCATTTTCCAGAAGAGATTTTTAGTGCATTTGTCACATTTCACAATGGTGTTGTAAGATTGTTACATAGAGCAGGCAATGTCCCATTTGAAAATACAACAAAGTGCAAGTCAGCAACACTGATTAAAGTAATTCACAACAGATTTTAAGAAAATAAAGCCACTAAAGCTTCCTAAAGGAAACAGCAAACAGTCCCCCTCTCACCTCAGCTTTAGAAATGAAGAGAATCTACCTTTATGTACTCTGCATAGGTCTAGCTCGCTCCAAATCCACCAAAACTTACATCCCTACAGACAATAAACAAAGCAGGCCAACATCTGAGGCATTCTCTCCACCCCCTTCTCCTCCCTGAAAAATATTAAATCTACAATTCCAGTAACAGACTCCCTATCCATACCAAAAATCCTTCAAAGACAAAATTAATTTTTCTTCTCTATTAATTTGATTTCTCATGCACTATACTATCTTAATTAGATGGAAAACTTGTGCAGGGAATGGATCTCAATCTTAATTTTATGTCTGGCAAGTATGGCATCCATTCTACATAAGAAGTTTTACAAGAACTTTAGAGGATAAATTTCTGCTAAAACTAACATGCTCCTTCTGCACTCACCGACAGATTAAACACAGATAAGAAATACTAAATACAATCCTACTGATAGAGGATTATGAAATAATCAGTGTATTAAAGGAAAAAATGCATGTCCTAATAATATTGTTCAAACTATAAATTATTTTACTAAGAAGGGACTGCAGACAGTTGTTGGGGCACCACTAGAAACCTGTAACTCAGACTGGCCTACTAAAACCACATACCCTCTCTTCATAGCAGCACTACAGCAGGTGTAATTACTCAAATCACCCTTCTATATTTATTAGAAATATAATCTTGCAGTGTTTTATAGGAAGCTGCATTATAGTGCCTTCCCAATATCATTGTTCAAACAGCTAAATATCAGCATAACTAGAATAACTGTTACCTAACAGTTACTTAAAAATAAATTTTAAATAGCTAGTTAATTTTTTAAAAATTACTGTGATCCACCCTCATGGATTGCAAGCAATACTTGCCTACACAGAATCTATCAAAAAATGCTCTTACTTACCATCCACTTCCACACCTACACATTGCTGCCTAACACACTTAGGTCATGTTCCACTCTCCAAAATGGAAAACACACCTGAACATTAAACTAAGTTACTAGAAACATCTAGATTCTGTACTCACAAAAATTTTGCAAAGGTTAAAATATTCCAACCACGGTTCCATAACATAAATTGGATCCTCTTAATTCTTCACAGATATTTTAATGTTTTCTAATGACTTCATAACTGCCACAGCTAATACAGAGAGAATTTTTACTCAGTATGGACCTATTCTCAAAACATCTATCAAAATGCCTCTGTATCCAGTGTTGTCTCTTTCTAATGCACATAAATCTCAACAGAAATCCTACAAGTTAAGAATTCATTATAGATGCTGTCAAGAAAAGAGAGAAAGTCACATGCATCTTAAACAGGTACTTCTGTGTAGGTAGGCTGAAAGCATGAACAAACACCCATTTTATATCCATATGCATGTAGAAAATCAGAGGTGAATAGTCATTACAAAATGAAAATAGTAAATAGTCATCTTTCCCTTTTCTACTTAGGCAGATTGGGTTATTCTCTAAAAACTTTCTACTGCTAACAACTTAAAAACATTACCCGAGGGAAAAAAGTCTGTTACACAGAAAAAAATATCGCAAAACACCACTATAGAGCAAGAAAACAAAACCAACACAACCCCTCAAGAAGAGATACTTGCAGTATTCGTTGCTTATTACTGACACTTCTGCTGCATCACAGCATTAGATAAAACAGTTATCTGCTGCCTTACTACCTGCACAAAGAGCAAAATGCAAGCGGTAGGATCGTTTTCCTTTTAGACTAGAGACTCACCAATCTTCAGATGAAAGTAAAATCCAAGGAAGCAAGACGTGCTATTTTAAGACTGATGAATACCTGAAAATATCTGAATGATATTAAAAAAAAGTTAATGTTCCATTCTTCTTACACTTTATTAAATAAGAGATCATATTAAACACGATTCATTAAAAAGCTACGGAAGCACTGAATAGCTGGTAGAAGTGATCTACAAAAACACTGATACTCAGTGAAGATCTGTTGCTAGATAGAGCAATACACAAGTCTCTTACCTGAATTATGTAGCTTGTCCCGCTGAGTCAATGACTGCTGCAATTTATAGTCAATTGACAACATGCAAAGCAGTTTATAGTTAGATCTGCTCATTTCTGGTTTGGCTTTTCCACCCACACCACAGCTATAATGGCAACAAAACTTGGCATTAAGGGCTAGAAATTTTAAAACTGTATTGAACACAACCAGATTACCTGAAAAATTTTAGGAATGGACTTTGTTTACTTCCTGTAGGTGTTCTGTTAGTTTACTAAAGCAGTATTTTCATTTATTGCCATTTTGTACTTTAATGTCCATATATAACAATCAGCTAGAATTTAGTTAAATGTTTACCACCAAGGCATAAGCAAACTCATTTTCATAGCTTCATTTTAAACACAGAAACTCAGCATTTATTTAGAAGAAACTTGTGATGGATTTGCCTCCAAATTAGAGGTGAGGACACACATTAGTTAGCATAACACCCTCAAACTTAATCTTCATTATACCTATAATTTTGGGAAATTCCCTTAATGTTAAGAAGTACAATATCATATAAAAGGTCTCTAATAAAACATTTATGGAGGCAGACAAGACAAGATTTGAAAACAGTGAGGGACCAGCAGCAAGACAGACGTTTTAAAGTTTTGCTTAAACTTAGAAACACAGTATGGAACAGTCTGTATAATCAAATATATATAGGTATATAGATACTATATACATATATATCTCAGTATATAGCTGTCCAATTGTACAGGTGCAAGGAAATACAACATCTAACTTCAAAACTCCCACATTTTACAGGACTACCTTGATGCTTCAGACTATCTCACTATTTCGTCCTTCTATTGATCAAAGTAAAACCACACAAAAAAAATCCAAAACCAAACCAGTTTCTCTTAAAACTTTCAGAATAAACATTGAGATTAGAAATACTGAGAGAGCTACACACATCCAGTCTTGTCTTTTGGGACTGTGAGCCATCAAAGAAAGCATTCTGTTTCTGCTGCCCTTGTGTGGGGCCACAGCAATGCTGGATTCTGCATCCCCCTTCCTATACCAGCTTCAGGCCTCACCAGGATGGCAGACAAGAGGTAGAACATCTACTAGAACTGGAAGACAGTCATATATTCAACAAACAAGTTACATTATTTTTCTTTAGGAGACCCTAGGTACATCACTGCCACCACAAGTTATTGACTCATCAGGGTGGGATGTTGAACACAGTAACTGAACCCAAGTCTGGATTTTTTTTTTTTTGGTCCTGACAATCCAGCTTGTGCTTTTTATTTATTTATTTATTTATTTAAAGAAAGAAAGAAAGAATCCTGTGCCTCCACCAATTAGCCACCCATTATAATTCCCTCCAGATTAACTCGGTTTTTGGAAGGCTACAGGACTGACAAGAGAATGAAGCTCTGTATCTGCAGAACAGCTGCAGACAGTGCAAATACTGTTATGGGGTAACTGTGTTTCCACCTCTGATGTGGCAGAGCTACGCGTACAGCTACGGTTTATTTCCCACACTACTCTGTCCCCCAGGCTGTGGGCTAAGCAAGCCAAAACTGCACCCAGCAACATACACTAGCATTCCATGTACCATTTCCTTCCACATTTCCTTCAATTGAAAACTGTATAAGACAATAATGTAACTACATAGGCACAGCTAAATTTGAGTCAGAGATTAAAAACTTTTTTCAGTTAGCAGTTTGGTGAGCCTTTCTTTCCTTTATCTAAGCACTGGGCAAGTGCATAGTTCTAACTCTGAAGCATTTTCAGAGAAGTGCTTTTATAGATGGAATTCACATTCAGGGTAATGAGGGAGAGAAATGATGACATACAGATAATGCATATCCATTTTTCAAAAATCAGTTTTATCTTTAATTGTTACATTCCAAAGGAGACATAGGAAAGTTAGTCATCTAGCAACTGTTTACCTCTTAAGAGAGATGAGTACAGAATCACAGATAAAAAAATACACCTAACTCCCGAGATGACAGGTGCTAGAGAAAGTATGTGCCTTACACCATCAATGCAGACAAATACAGAAAGATTTTTATAATAAATATTTCATCATATACTAACTCCTGAGACTTTATCCATTAAAAGAAAGGGAGATTTTTTTTAAAGAGATATTATAGACATACAATAGATTAAGCTATTAAAGCAAAATAGAACAAAATGCCAATACTGTCTTGATATGCACTGCATTTGAGTTTATCTACATCACAGTACTTTAAGTATGCAGCTCAAAGAGTCAGTGTCCATTTAAGTTTTACCTTAAATCTGCAAACATCATTTGACACACAAGCATCTTGAAAGTATGAGTGCAAGAAATCAAATGATGAATACAGCCAATCAGGATTTCATTCTCTGATATGAAAACTACACTGCAAGATTCAGATTTCCAGTACCTAGCATTAGTCAGCAGAAAATGCAAGCATATTTACAAAAGGTCTTTACATAAAGTGATTAGTGAGTTGTAATTACTGTGTTCCCAGGTACTTTTTAACCACATAAATAGTAGAGAGAAATATATAGTTAAAAACCACCATAAAGTCACAACTGTAAATAAGGTACCACAGTGGCAACCCAAGGTAACTTAGAGTTTGTTTCCTTTTCAGTTTTATTAGTAAAAGCCATTTGAAAATGTAAAGATTTTGGCTTTTGGTTAACTAATCTTTTTAAATTGCTTCCACTCCAGTACATTCTTTCAAAGTTCAA